ATTGTGTCTCTTCTTCAGTAGTTCACACTTATTGCACTCTGATCGCACTGTCCTACTGACTCGGAATATTCATATTGACAATGGGTTAGCTCTGGACTTAGGTCTATTAACTTACCCTAAGTAGCTCGGGTACCTTGAACTGCTACAATGACTGCCTCTTTAAATAGGCGATAGGACTGTATGGGACAGGGTTTGATTGGTTTCACTACGAATCCCACAAGGTCATGCGTTGGCGCCTAAATGACTGGCATTGCAGTGATTGGCTGTGCTTGAGCTGCGTAGGCACAGCGATGTCTTGATGATTACGATGACGTAAGTTCGAATTCAACCGTCCTCCCGAGTGTCTTAACGATGCAAAACACTCCTCCGTGAATAACGCGCTTCTTTTGAATTGAAGCTTTTGTAAGTGGAACAGCAAATACCTAAAGCAGTCAATGCATGCATCAGGAGCAATAGGAAAATACGAGACCATCTCGCAACCCTAGAGAACAAAATAAACAAACTGGGAGCGATGGCTTTCAAAATCTGAGCTTATGTCATAATTTCCTTAAATATTTATACCACGGAACCACCCCTGCAATCCTGTTCTCTGCAACAGCTCGCCCACCAACCACCTACAAACACACTATTATTTAAACTGATGCCATTTTTGGCAGAGTTTAATAAGCTGGATCTGGTCAAGTCACGTAGGCCAGACGAGATCCCAGGTCTACTCTTATGTCAACTGGCTGAAGAATTAGCACAACCACTCTGTACAATCTTCCAAAAGTTGCTGGAAACTGGCAAACGTCCTGACACATGGACCTTGGCAAACATCGTACCCATGCGCAAGGGAGGTTCACGGCCAACTACCGGCCAGTGTATCTGACATGCGTTTGTTGCAAACTGATGGAAAAGATAGTCAGAAAATCGTTTACATCACTTGATACATTACGCTGTCACATCAGTTCACTTCAGTATGGTTTCTATGAAAAGAGGTTCTGCCTCACAAACCTGCCTACGTCGCTCGAACATTGGATGAAGGACATCCGGTAGATGTCATTTACATTGACTTCAGCAAGGCATTTGATCTCGTTTCAAATAAGCGTCTCGTTCAAAAGTTCTCAGGCGTAGGGTTAAGAGGCAATCGTCTGAACTGGATTCAAGATTTCCTAAAGGGTAGTAGACGAAATGACACTGCGTGTGGCTACTGCTGTGGACGGGCACCTATTAGATTTGGAGTCCACACGGGTCAGTTCTTTGGCCGCTCCTATGCATTATCTATGTAAAGGTTATAAATGGCATAAATATCTGGAGTATCATAGGAAGCGATTTTGACGAGGCCCGACTGCAGACAAATCTGGACCACCTCGAGCAATGGTCAAAAGACTGGCTTCTACCCATTCAACGTAAACAAGTGTACTTCCTACGCGTCGGCGGAACCAGTTCTCCTAACCGCACGGCCTACCGTCTGACTGGAAAACCACTGCAAGTAGTCGACGCCCAGAAGGACTTGGCTGTATGTATCACAACCTCGCTGAAGCCTTCGCTGTAATGCTCAAAGGTAGCCAAGTCGGCGATGTCCATTCTATGCTTCGTCAGACGGACGTTCTCCTCCTTTAATGAAGACTTTTTGGCATTTATGTTCCACTATTAGATTATTGCATTCTGCACATTAAAACTACATGCAACATCAGAGCTTCGTTCGCTCACCCCAAATATACTGACTGACAGAGATGATGGGTGTCTTCCATGCGTAAACTTCGGCTGCAAATCTGGTCCTGTAATATGACCTAGCTAAAGTGGACTGGATGATTGATAGACTGGATTTCTGCGGTTTGAATCAGACGGGGTAGAGGGTGAACCTTCAGTCCCTGTGTATTATCAGCACGCAAAATGGCAGATTTGTGTGTCAACGATGGAATACTATTGATAATTTGAATCTTTTGGCATAATGTGAAGACTAGGGCAGGCTAACAACGAAGGGAGTGTAAGCCTGTGGATGTGGACTTGTCAATGTCACCGCTGAAGTAAGCAATTGTCCGGAAGAGGTGGATGACAGGTAAGAACGTTTCGTCGACTCGTTCAAGAGAGCGATGTAAAAGATGTGGGACACTGGTGTTAAACTGGAGTATCTCAACACATTCCTCTTTGTCTATGGAACAACTCCAAAAAGTGATCTTCGGGGCCAGACACCAGCCGAACGGTTTTTGAGACGACAGCCGGATACGCGATTACAGTGCGTACAACCGGAAGCTCGGGTACCACAAACAACAAAACATTACTTTCGCAAGGGAGAGGAGGTGTTTGCTAGCAACTACAAAGTCGGAGAGAAGCCCTGGATAGAAGGTATAATAAGAAAATCCAGAGGTGTTGTGTTTGAGGTGGAGACAGCAGCTGGAAAAATAAAGAGGCATGCTAATCAGCTCAGGACTAGACACACCAGAGACAGTCAAATGGCACTCGACCTGCTGTGTAATACCTTTGAGGTTCAAACCCCCCAGGGTAGACAGTCAGACAACATTACCCGTCATTCGTAGAAGTAGCAGAAGAACACAACCGCCAAGGAAACTGGTCTTGGACCCGGAGAAGAAGAGGTACGAGGTCCAACTTTCAAAAGCGGGAGGTGCTATGAAGAGTGCAAGCGGCGTAGAGCCACGGCCTAAGGCGCTGAACAGGGGACCAAGTCGGCGACGTGAGTCACGCGTGAAGTTAGACGACTGACCGGCGCTCACTGCAGCACCGAGCACGTGGGCTGGCTTTGCTCACGTGTGCGGCTCAATCAATGGATGGCCCAACATTAAAGGCGTTTCGGTGAGGGGGCCATCGCGCACGCGGTGGCCAAACTGCGACCAGCACGCTCAGGGCAGGAACATTCTAGAACGCCCTCAACGGCTGGCACGTCATTGGACGGAATGTTCCAGAACCCACGGGAGCCGACATAAATAGCACACCTTTCCTACGAGTTATAAACCCCTCCAGTCCGCAAGTTCCAATAAAGTGCTTGTCCTCCGAACCTGCTCTCTTACTGTCCTACCTTCATTCCGGGTCATAACACACGGAGCACTCGAAGCTTTGCGACCGATATTCACTTCGTGTTTGGCGATTTTGAGACATGGGTTTGGATGCGTCCATGCTTTCGGCTGTGGAATCCTCCAGTGGATGGTGGTGAGAACTGATTTGAGCGGCTATGTCGCATGGCACCCAATGATCCCCTGGGAGGCGCGTATGACGGAGGCAGTGTTTGCTCAATCTCCTGTCTCTCATCCAGCTGCTTAAATTCCCCTTCAAAACATGTTTCATGACCGATCAATTTACCAGATCGACACTGACTTGACTTGACACTGCCCTTCATCATTGAAAATGCTCCTCTACAAACACAACCAGTGATGGCACTCAAACCCGAAAGACGCACATGTGGACTCCATCTATCACCATTGTCTACTACGCCATCCCATCTTCTCCAAAGCCTCACATACTCACTGTATTCTTACATATGAACATCAGCGGGGTTATGTCATACCCAGAGAAGACCGAATAGGCTTTTGGTCGTTAGCAGTCATAGTGGTGTGTGCATTGAGAAGAGGGTGATGTTGTGGTCGTCTGTCTGTGTTCTATGCTGACGCAAGAGATGGGGAGTGGCGCTATCTTTAGATGTAAATCAGGCCCGTTGCCACCCTTAATAGTCATACGACCTTCAGGTTTTGTACTTTCTGGAGGGTGGAGTGCAGCTATGATTGGGTGTAATTCAAGCCTGTTTCCACCCTTCATAGTCTTACGACCTCCAGGTAGGTGTAGTGTTGGCAGAAGTGTTCGATGTTGATTCTAGGGGTATTTGATGAATAACAGTTTCTTGGGGGTAGAGTTCTGGCAGAAGGCGGAATGTGTAGCCCAGGTACGTCTGCAGAAAAGTCAGAACGAAACCGAAGGAAGTATATAGCATCACGAAACGATGTGATTTAACTAGATGTCTGGATTTGTAGTCTATGCGTATGCAAGTAAGGGACCCGTTGTTAAATAACCTTGCTGAATTTTGACTGCAGTTCTACCGTGAAGTCGATCGGCAGTGATAAGGAGAGCGTGGCCTAGTTAAAATATAGAAGAAATTAGCAGGCTGTGGTTTGGAAGGTTGCCACCATACAGGGCAAATCTTAACACACAGGAGATCCAGCGTGTGCATGTGTGTGGGAAGTGGCGGACTTAGAGACAAGCTGCAGTGCCTACTACTTTGTGCTGCATTTATGGCAATCCCATCTAATGGAATCGGAGCCGGGTGGGACGGCATGCCAAGGGGCGGGTGCACGACGTGCTAGACACATGCGCGCGCGCTCTCTCTCTCTCTAACCTCCGCTTTTCCTGTTTCGGACATGACAAGGAGCTAGTGTGACGACGGATGACTAGGAGGAGGCTGGGGATGAGGAGGAGGAGGAGGAGGAGGAGGAGGAGGAGGAGGAAGAAGACGAGGAGAAGGAGGAGGGGGAGCGCGTGCGGGAGATGCGGCGCATGTCTTCTGCCACTACAAAAGTTAACTGTGCACAAGTCTGCGTGCCTGCTTCCAGCCTGCTGTGGAGTGCGCGGTGGACAGCGTCGGTTTTGACGTTCGAATTTACGTTTGTTTGTCGATCTGGGTGGTGCCACTGATCGACACAGGAAGTAGATTGGATTTCGCCGGTCGGTTTCACGAATCCACAAACATAATATATGCAGCAGCTGCTGTGACGAAGGATGACAAGGAGCAGGAGGAGTAGGATGAGGAAGAGGAGGATGAGGAGGAGGAGGAGGAGGAGGTGGAGGATGCGAAGAAGTAGGAGGTGTGCCGGGAGGGGAGGAGGATGGGAAGGACTGTGGAAGATCATGCAGGAATTCGGCTGTCCGGAGCGATTCACTCAGATGGTGCGTCAGCTGCACGACGGTATGATGGCGCGAGTCACGGACAACGGAGCTGTCTCAGAGGCATTCGCAGTGACCCACGGAGTGAAGCAGGGCTGTGTGCTGGCGCCTACCCTCTTCAGTCTTATGTTCTCTGCCATGCTGATGGACGTCTACCGCGACGAACGCCCTTGAATCCGCATCGCATACAGAACGGACCGTCATCTCCTGAATCAACGGCGCATGAACTTCCAATCGCGCGTGTCCACAGCCACCGTGCACGAACTCCTTTTCGCCGACGACTGCGCCCTGAACACCACCTCCGAAGAGGAGATGCAACGCAGCATGCACCTATTCTCCGCCGACTACGAGAACTTCGGTCTGGTCATTAACACGCGGAAGACGGTGGTGATGCACCAACCGCCGCCCAACTCAGCCACAGCCCCCAATGCGCCACAAATCAGCGTGAATGGGACCCAACTGCAAGTGGTAGAGAACTTCCCGTACCTGGGAAGTACCCTCTCTCGCAACACCAAAATCGATGACGAAGTCGTCAACAGAATCTCGAAAGCCAGTCAAGCCTTCGGACGCCTCCAAAGCACAGTTTGGAATCGCCACGGTCTTCAACTGAGCACTAAGCTGAAGATGTACAAGGCCGTCATCCTGCCGACGCTACTGTACGGAGCAGAGACATGGACGGTGTACACGAGGCAGGCACGTCGACTGAAACACTTCTACCTCAGTTGTCTCCGTCGCATCCTGAGGCTGAACTGGCAGACCGCATCCCCGACACCGATGTGCTGGAACGGACGGGAATCCTGAGCATCTACTCCATGTTGAGACAAATGCAGCTGCGCTGGAGCGGCCATCTGGTGCGCATGGACGACGAGCGACTACCGAAACGACTCTTCTACGGAGACATCGCGACGGGTTCTCGCCGTCAAGGAGGCCAAATTCGCCGTTACAAGGATACCCTGAAGTTCTCCCTCAAGCGTCTGCAAATCAACCCGACCAACTGGGAAGACTTCGCCCGCGATCGTCCGACATGGAGGAGGACAGTGAAGACAGGCGTTGCTATCTACGAAGCCAACCGAATCGCTGCCGCCAAAGCGAAATGCGAAGCCCGCAAATCACAACTTCGCCCAGTCCGCACCGCCGCCGCACAACCGCTTTCAACGTGTCCTCGATGTCACCGGACATTCCGGAATCGAATCGGACTTGTTGGACATCTTCGGACCAACTGTGCCTCTCGAACTGCTCCAGCCATCGTCCCCCCGCCCGCCTATTCTTCGTCCTCTCTGCCGCCAACTAACTCTGACACTTCTTCTGTACAAGCACCACCACCTACATCCTCCTCTTCCTCCTCCTTCTTCTTCTTCTTCTTCTTCTTCTTCTTCTCCTCCTCCTCCACTGCCTCAGCGGCGGCCGTTCAGGCTGCCGTCTCACACATCGCCAACCCCGACACAACAACCAACAACACCCGCACCTCTCCCGATTCCAGTGATGAGGATCAGGACTACACCTGCCCTTACTGCGATCGCACCTTCACCTCTCGCATCGGCCTGGTCGGTCACTTGCGAATCCATCGCACAGAGACTGGTGAACCAGTGCCTGGAGCACCAACCTAAACCCACCGCACTCGCCTCCACTGCACACACTGCCCTCGCACTTTCAGGCATCGCATGGGCCTACCCGGCCACATGCGCATCCACGACGACCTGCGGTAGACAACCGCCGGTTACATCACACATCCACACAACTCCTATCCTCCTCCACCATCACAACTACGCCTCAACACTCACCCACAGCATGCACAAACTGCCACCTTCCACGCAAGTGGGAAATGTGCATCTCCACTCGGTCCCCATGCGGCTTCGGCTGCACGGGTGACTTGTGTCCAAGACTATACCGACACGTCAAGTATCGTGGATAGGAAGGTTGCTGATCGACGCCCGCTCTCGGTTCACGCAGTTCGTCACGTTGCGTGTGTGTGTGTGTTGTTCGGGGTGTAGGGGTGTCAGCGGTGGGTCCACGTGATGGTCGTAGTGGTCGCTCACTTGCTTGCAGGTGAGAATACGCCTAGCGTCCATTTGCTGGCACCCAACTCTCACCTGTGGCTCCACGTAGCTGGGCCTTGCTCAGCGGCCACACCCCGGGCAACCGTCTCGACCGGCGGGCTAAACCAGGTGAGGGTATCCGTGCGTGCACCTGCACGCGCGGTACTGTGGTCTGCGCTGGCCGGATGGATCTTCGCGTCGACATCGTCGAGACGAGGCTCTGCCTGGACCAACGTAGGCGACCACCAGGTAAGTTTCCCCACAGGTAAGTGCGTTTGCTTTGTTTCTTCCTTTTGTTTGTTGAAGTTCCGCGTCGTGCGCTGCGCTTGCTGCTTGTCCTTTATATGCTAGTCTGTCCGTCAATAGCTAAACGACTCCCTCGATGCCTGCTGCGATTGTCTGTCCGTCAGTCTATGCCACTCTCTACTTATAGCTAGGTGTGTTACGGTGCTTGACTTTGTGTGGTGCCCTCACTTTGTCTCTGACTGGTGACTGTGTCCGCTTGTCCACTCTAGTTCTAAGTCCCATAGCGTTAGGCAGTGTGTATGCTATCTCCTACTTCACTCCATCACATCATCACCTCACCACCAAGGTCCCAGGCTAATTCGGGTCGTTCTCTCACTAACAAAAAGTCGTGGCCCATAGTGGAGTCCGGCAGCCGTCTGGGATAACCGGGCAGCCCTGTTCAGGGATGCGTTGCCTGCCCCCGCGAGGGGGAGGGGGCTAGAAAAGGTGCCCTAACGATCGCTGGGAACCACGCTGTCTGTAGGCTGGCCGTGGCCGCAGACAAAAAACACACGGTCGAAACAGCCAAAACCGAAACAACAACAACAACAACAATTACTCTCTTCCTCTTCCAGCCTATTCTTCTTCTTCTCCTACTCCTACTTTTGGTCGCCGCAGTCGCCAGACTGGCAGGGTGAGCCCGCTCATTCTGGCAGCCTGGAATGTTCGTCCCCTTTTAGACAATCCGAGGAGCAACCGACCGGAACGGAGGACGGCGCTAGTGGCAAGAGAACTGGCGCGCTACAAGGTGGACATCGCCGCACTCAGCGAGACCCGATTCTCCGAACAAGGCCAACTGGAGGAGGTGGGTGCCGGCTACACCTTCTTCTGGAGTGGTCGACCCAAGGCAGAGCGACGAGACGCGGGTGTCGCCTTCGCCATCCGGAACGACATCGTGGGACGACTACCCTGTTTGCCGCAGGGTATCAACGATCTCCTGATGAGCCTCCGTCTGCCTCTGCGGGGTGGGGGCAAATTCGCCACAATCATCAGCGCCTACGCTCCGCCGATGAGCAGCCCCGACGCCGCCGCAAGAGACAAGTTCTACGAGGACCTGCACGCCCTCTTGGCGACTGTGTCGAAGGCGGACAAGTTGATTGTCCTTGGTGACTTCAACGCCCGCGTCGGCACAGACCATACTGCCTGGAGGGGAGTGCTGGGTCCTCACGGTCTCCGCGGCTCCAACGACAACGGTCTGCTGCTGCTCCGCACCTGCGCAGAACACCGCCTCATCCTGACGAACACGTTCTTCTGTCTGCCGGAGCGAGAGAAGGCCACCTGGAGGCATCCTCGATCGCGTCAGTGGCACCTGCTGGACTATGTCCTCGTCCGGAGGCGAGATCAGCGGGACGTGCTGGTGACGAAGGCGATCGCGGGTGCTGACGGGTGGACCGACCATCGCCTCGTCATCTCGAAGATGCGTATTCGCCTACAGCCTCGCAGGAGACCACAAGGTAAGCGACCCCCAGGTAAGCTGAATGTTGCTTTGTTGTCTTTGCCTGCTCACCGTCTCCATTTCAGCAACGAGCTAGCTCGACGTCTAGACAACCTTCCTATCGCTGCCGCCGCCGACGACGCCGCCGCCGCCGCTGCCGAGAAAACCTCCGTGGAGAACCGCTGGTGTCAACTGCGAGACACGGTCCAGTCGACGGCGCTCGCCGTCCTCGGTCGCGCTCCCCGCCAACACCAGGACTGGTTCGACGACAACGACGCCGCCATCAGAAATCTGCTTGCCGAGAAGAACCGCCTCCACAAAGCCTACGTAGATCGCCCCACTGAGGACAACAAAGCTGCCTTCTACCGCAGTCGCCGACAGCTTCAGCAACGACTGCGCGAGATGCAGGACGCCTGGACTGCTCGCAAAGCTGAGGAGATCCAAGGCTACGCGGACCGCAAGGAATGGAAGAACTTCTTCTCTGCGATCAAAGCTGTCTACGGTCCGCCGACGAAGGGCACTGCTCCTCTCCTCAGCGCCGACGGCTGCACTCTCCTGACTGAGAAGACGCAAATCCTACAGCGATGGGCCGAGCACTTCCGAGGCGTCCTCAACCGCCCTTCCGTCATCTCCGACGCCGCCATCGCCAGCTTGCCGGAAGTGGCGACCAACGTGGACCTCGACCTCCCGCCATCTCTCCAGGAGACCATCAGGGCCGTGCAGCAGCTCTCCAGCGGGAAAGCACCCGGATCGGACGCCATCTCAGCTGAGGTCTACAAGCACGGAGGTCCCCTTCTGATTGATCACCTGACTGCGCTCTTCCAGGAGATGTGGCGTCAAGGTGAAGTCCCGCAGGATTTCAAGGACGCAACTATCGTGCACCTATACAAGCGAAAAGGGAATCGCCAAGTCTGCGACAACCACCGCGGCATCTCCCTACTGAACATCGCGGGAAGATCTTCGCTCGCATCCTGCTCAACCGCCTCAACAACCATCTGGAACAGGGCATTCTGCCGGAAAGCCAATGCGGCTTCCGTCGTCATCGTGGGACCACGGATATGATCTTCGCCGCCCGCCAACTTCAGGAGAAGTGCCAGGAGATGCGGACCAACCTGTACTCTACCTTCGTGGACCTGACGAAAGCCTTCGACACGGTGAATCGTGAAGGACTGTGGAAGATCATGCAGAAATTCGGCTGTCCGGAGCGATTCACTCAGATGGTGCGTCAGCTGCACGACGGTATGATGGCGCGAGTCACGGACAACGGAGCTGTCTCAGAGGCATTCGCAGTGACCAACGGAGTGAAGCAGGGCTGTGTGCTGGCGCCTACCCTCTTCAGTCTTATGTTCTCTGCCATGCTGATGGACGTCTACCGCGACGAACGCCCTTGAATCCGCATAGCCTACAGAACGGACGGTCATCTGCAGAATCACCGGCGCATGAACTTCCAATCGCGTGTATCCACAGCCACCGTGCACGAACTCCTCTTCGCCGACGACTGCGCCCTGAACACCACCTCGGAAGCGGAGATGCAACGGAGCATGGACATATTCTCCGCCGCCTGCGAGAACTTTGGGCTGGTTATCAACACGCAGAAGACGGTGGTGATGCACCAACCGCCGCCCAACTCAGCCACAGCCCCCAACGCGCCGCCGCAAATCAAAGTGAATGGGACTCAACTGCAAGTGGTGGAGAACTTCCCGTACCTGTGCAGCACGCTCTCCCGCAACACCCAGATCGACGACGAAGTCGCCAACAGGATCTCGAAAGCCAGTCAAGCCTTCGGTCGCCTCCGAAGCACAGTTTGGAATCGTCATGGTCTCCAACTGAGCACAAAGCTGAAGATGTACAAGGCCGTCATCCTGACGACGCTGCTGTACGGAGCGGAGACATGGACGGTGTACACGAGACAGGCACGTCGACTAAATCACTTCCAACTCAGCTGTCTTCGTCGCATCCTGAGGCTGAACTGGCAGGATCGAATCCCCGACACCGAAGTACTGGAACGAACGGGAATCCCCAGCATCTACGCCATACTGAGACAAATGCAGCTGCGCTGGAGCGGCCACCTGGTGCGTATGGATGACGAGCGACTACCCAAACGACTCTTCTACGGAGACGTCGCGACGGGTTCTCGCCGTCAAGGAGGCCAAATTCGCCGTTACAAGGATACTCTGAAGTCCTCCCTGAAGCGCCTGCAAATCAACCCGACCAACTGGGAAGAGC